ACATTCGCAAACCATGGCCATACTTGAGGTTGAGTTTGCTGTCCTAGTCTGTAGAAAACGTGTAGAACTAACGCCTTGGTCAACAGATCCAACCATGGTCAAGTTAGCATCAGATCCAGTTACGTTCGTGTCAGCAGCAGCCGATCCCGACGGAGCGCTAGTAGTGTTGGAGCCTCCTGGGGCAACGGACGGAGCAGCCACACACGAGCCACGACCATTGCAAGCTTTGGAAGACGAGGGGTCACAGAATGCACACTGGTCACCAGTCGTCCCCTCCTCGCACTCACACTCTTGGGTCGTAAGGTTGCAAGTACCGGCCTGGCATTGTGACTCAAGCGTACATTTGTTCGATTCAATGCCTTGACAGTATGTTCCGTTGTAGCCCACATTGCACTCACAATAAAATTGCCTCGACCCTGGCGAGTCAGGGGTACATGTGCCACGACCAGAGCATACGACGTCCGAGTCTTCCGCATTGTTCGGATTCACACACCCTTCATTAATAACGCCCGTGTAATTCATCTCTCTCGACAGTGCATAGTTGTCCGAGTCTTCATCAAACAAAAGGTTCGAGCCGTCGAAGTCCACACAAGCGAAAATCACACCAGCGGTCACGGCTTCCGAGCCCGAGCCCGCAGTCATGTCCATACACGATACGTAGCCGTCAGTGTTCGATCCCGAGAAGGAATCATTAAGACACTGGTCTGTGCCCGAGGGAAGCTGATAGGCACATACACTACTAATGGACTGGAACGCAGTTTTCCACGTCGAAAACGATGGGCATAATCCGGGGAATGTGCCGGAGCAGACGTCACCCTCTCGTTCGTAAGGAAGACATTGCTTCACGTCTTCAATGCCCGAGCGCGTAGTCTGTACACTAATGCACACATAATTATCTTCACAGGAATCGTCATTCTTACAATAGCCAGGTTGTCCAGAACCGGACGCGGCTTCAGCAGTCGTACAAACTGCCGCGATTGCCGCAATATACGCGATCGCATTCATTCTTGTCGACTAAAGTTTACACTGATACAAAGTCTTACGGCAGAGTCTCTTTGCAAGCAAAAGAGAAAATGACGCAGCTGCGCCAAGCATCTGGAAGATGCGGAGGGAGAGAGCGAGAGTGGTGGTCACGTTGTGGCGACCAGACTTTACTTGGTTATTGTAAGGAAGAAGCAAGTTATCGGAAAATCCTAAACTTAACAGCTGGCTTGTGCAATGTGGATTGATTTTTTTTTTCAGCCGATCCCTGAGAAAGCCGTAGCTGTTGGGCAAACAGTAAGTACGACAAACGCTATTTTAATGCTTTGTGTGGGCTCAATGGTGACAGAAAACAGCGTTAGATAGGTAAATGATAACTGCTATTCTATGCATAAATATCCAGACATTTGTAAAATGGAAAGGTCAGTTCTTGATACTGCATGGTGCAAGACATGTGAAAGGAAGGCCAAAAAGAAAGTCAACTGCATATATCTCTACTACTATCAAGTCCTGGTCAGATCATGTTTGCAAAGATATTCATACATGATTCATGGCCTTACGAAGTCATGAAAGCGACAAATTTGACTCGCACTGTCTCACTTTGTCAGGACTGAATCAGATTCATGTCAAATAATCGAGGATTGAATTTGCACGTGCTTGTGTTATGGCAAACTAAGCGGTAAGTTCTACAAGGTAGACAGAGTGATAAACTCTCATGGCTCTCCTTTCTTTCCAAGAGATTCTAATTTGATACGAATGAAGCGACTCGTAGGACAAACTGTACTAATAGTTGACGTGTCGCAGCTTCAAAGATTTGCTGCTTTTTAAATTTTCAGAACAGCCAGCATAATCTGGTTTTAGTCTATAACCAACCTTTAGCCTTCAATTACTTAATAAGCGCCTTCAATTACTTTACTAATGTATGTAGCTAGCATAGAATTAATCGATGAGCATGTATAACCTCTTTTTCTCCATTTGGGGAATTTGACACGCCATAAGGTAGGGTACATTGTAATAGTCGGAACTTTCTTTCCTCATCGAGAGTTTGTCTAATGGGAAATCATGATTCTTCCTTTACATTTACCTCCGCTGAATTACTAGCACGTTTTTGTAATTTTTGTAATCAGGATATGTGAATTAAACCGACGATACTTGTTTGCCCTTGTACTTTGTGTGATACCTGTATCATGTTCGAACGACTTTCAGTTTGTGCCTGTTTTAAAATTCACAAACATCATTGTGGGCGAGGCTGCAAAAACTACTCTATAGACCAACGACTGAGAATATGAAACGTTTGCTGTAACGTGGTCTGATTGGTAGCATGTCGGTACTTATATATCTAGTATATTTGAGATCGACAGAGCGTCAATAGCAAGTCAAAGTATAAGCAAACCACTTAGCTGTGAAGGGTAAAGCTTGCTTTGACTACTCAGTGACGGAAATCTACCGGTATACCGGAATACTAAACCACATGCAATTTTACGTACTTCTCAGCCAAAATCTTGATTGGTGGATACTATCATCAATCGGCGGAGTTAAAATAATCGAATATATAAGTTGACAGCCGAGCAGTGTACTTGCGTTTCGCGTCTTCAGAAACAATCAAACGGGGTTGCCGGGCACATTGCATAGAGAAGGCTCCAACTCTGCGAGTCCGCGTCTATGAAAACACAAAGGATGGACTCGTATGCCCCACCCAGCTGCAACACCGAGAGGTCATAACTGACTAGTCTGCTCATTAGCTCAAGAATGACGTGCACATAGATTAAGTTCAGCTTAAACTGATGCTGAAAATATATCTGTTTTACTTTATGCAATAATAAAACCCTATGTAATGTGTAGTGTGAGGTCAGAAACCCAAGTATCGCACAGACTTAACCTTCTCGAAATCCATAATAAGCATTTCACTATGTCATGATGCTTCACTTTTGGTACTTCTGAGCTTGTTTCTCAGTACGCTCAAAATGGTGTAACGTGTTCAAGCAATACGACATGATACGTACCCCGTTACACACTCCTCCACCAAAAACATATACGACATGGGATCACATACAGACAAGTCGCACAAAAGAAAACGCTTTAAGAAAACCCACTTCGGCAGGAGTTTCCCCCAAACTCACCCGCCATTATCTGCTTTAAACGCATAGAGATACATTTATATCTCTTTTAAAGTATCAACATGGCTTAATTAGCAACTGCGAAAGGCGCAGTTCTATGGTCGATTATATTTCGGCTATATTAGGCGAGGCCACCGAGTTGTGCAATAAGCATTAGCATAGTAACTCTCCAAGTCCCGACATGGGATATGTTTCCATGAGTTGGTCGCTTCGTGCCTCTTACGTACGGCGAAAGATGTGACGACACCCTGTCACAGACTCACCCTATCGTTTAATCTGTATTCAATAAGCTAGGCGTAGCTCAGCGAGCCATGCTTGCCCATAAGCAAGCGCAAGGGGTGAAGACACTTTTGCAAACTCAAATACGTTGTGGTTATGAGTTCAGGTCATCAGAAATTACCCGCTGCGCCGCGACAGAGTTCATCTTTGCCCATACAGGCGAGTATTCCGCTAACCGAAAGCAAGCTGCGCACTCGAAAGCTGCTTCGAGAGCGCTTTCTGGTCCCACAGGTCACAATTCTCGAAAAAAATTGCACCGAGAGCAGCACCAGCTGGGTAAATACGCACCCTTATGAGGTTAACACTGGTACCAAGCACTAGTAAAATTGCCAAAGAGTACCTCACTCAATTCGCAAATTGGACGAAAGAATACATATTGCCTCTTCACTACAAGCCGGCTTCAGTAAATAAGCAGTCGGACTACAGCGTCGTTTGATGCTTGCCTTTGCGAAACGCAATCACGATGTCGACGTCAAGGCGGACGCTCACTGTCGGCAGCCTGGCTCTACTCTGCTGGAAATGCTCTCGAGTTGGGTGAAGGTTTGGCTGCACCCGCTAGTCGCAAGCGCATGGTGGTGAACAACATTATCTTTTCTCCCATAGTGATGAAGACAGAGCGTAAGCCAAAAAGTAAGCAGCAAAGGCTTTCAAGCAATCTTGCCGTAGTGGAAATTCGAGCTTTCATAAGTTTCTATAGTGAAGATATCCCTTACACTTGGCCTTGTTCGGATTACACCTTTGGTAAATACTCCGGCTGAAAGTCTATTTCACATAGAAGTGGGCCGCATCTCGCTCATCGACAAGACCCGGCGATGGGGGACTCTTACTGCCTAGCCTGAATGCGCATTCTCAATTGTGGTGGCGCATCGACGCGCGTGCGGTATGTTGTTTAGATTACTTGGGCGATAGAAGACAAGACTTAAATCGAATTGTTTAGTTCTTAGCTCGCGAAACGAGTTGCTACACATAAGGGTGTTACTGGTTATCGTGTCGTCTACTTTCAGTGGACATTCGGTAATTAGCTCGTACTGATTCTCTACTGATATTGTCTAATTACTGACTCACAGATATCTGACAGATATACCGTCGCAGGTCGAGGCATTTCCTCTTCAACATTGCCGATACTGCCATCCTGATGATTTTTTAGGCTGCGCAATCGAACTGGTTGTCCTTACCCCAAGCTTAAGCCAACGATTTAGCTACATGGGAAAGTCTGGGCGTCCTCGAAAGAGGACATTGCATCTGAATGGTTTGTGAGGCCAAGGGCGTAACACAACCTTAGTATGTTAACGTAATATCCCGACATGGTGACTTTCTCTTGGGAAATTGAGCTTAAAGCTTATTTCCTCTCTAGGTACGACTGTAAGCGGTACAATGTAGCGAGGGTGCAACTTAGTCACATATACATCTGATTTGATATGTGAATTTTGGTAGGCGGTAATGAAAAATACCTTTTGAATCTCTACAAACTTATGGAGTCTCGTCTGCATCTGCATGTCGCTTTCGTATTCTGGCTTTCGGCCGTATTGTCACATACTTGGCGTATGACGATCAGTTTGTCTCGGATATAAACAGATCAAATGTATCTATACTTGTAGTTGGGCTGGTAAAAGCAAGCCAATTCGCATCGATAATTTCAAGCCCACCAAGACCGAAATAATTTTGTGGTTGAACGGAAATGAGTCTAATCATGTGCTGCGTTACCCAACGCGAACTCAAGAGTGGAAACCTTTCACCTCAGCGTTGCGGTGGCATCATACCTGTCTTTTGTGGGAGCATTTAACTCAAGCACTGCAATAACATCGCGCCTGCTCTTTACGCGTTTCGCCTGGCCTTTTGTCTGAGTAGATCTGCGGTGGACATTTCGAATCGAATGCCGTAAACTTCAAGCAAAGTTTCCCAAAAACATCTTGTAAAGTGTGGATCCCGATTCTGAACAATGGTAACTGGAAAGTCTTCTTGATGAAGTGTTGTAGTGGAACAGCCCGGCTGCACCCTCACTGGTGACAGTGTCGCTGGCAGCAGCGATATGAGCCTTCTTGCTGAAATGGTATAAGCGCATAAGCAGATATCACAAAACCGACATTACCCGACGAGTCTTTTGGAAGACCATAAAAAACTGAAGGCCGGTGGATTCTTGAAACTCTGCCATAATTTGCATACTGTTCAAGTGCACTGCCGCATGCGGTGAGATTCCAATTCATAGACACGTTTCACACGTGAGCACATACGAGCTGACCCTTGACTGCATGTTGAGCTGCGGGTGCATTGCACTTTTGAGTCGCATGTCTGCTCCTTGTCGAATCGGCCATTCAAAGACGATCATGTGCCTCTAACAGTATTTTCTAGCTGAGGCCCCCGTCATGGTGTGCATCACACGCTGATTTTTCGCTGGGTCGGTGCTGAAATACTGCAAGCCTTAAAAGAGAGATAACGGTACGGGCGCTCAAAAAAACATTTCAAAAAAATCGCTAGCTACTTTTTACCCAATTTATAAGCCATGCTACACATAATGCACCTGAACCGTGTGTTATACAGATCACCTCGTCGATGCGCGACCTCACCGTCGCGTCATTCTTAAGCGTATTTATCGCCACATCAAGCCGATCTCCATACCTTACTTCGAAA